ATGCCATCAAAACTAATAAGAAGAATAAATAAATTAGAAGTCTAGGTGTTGCAGCTTTTCAGACTTCCTTAATATTTATATGCGTGAAAGCCTTATTTACTGTCTTGAGTTCAAATGATCTGCAGCAGCAGGATCTCAGATGAGTATTAATTCATAAGGCTTACAGGGAGAAGGGACTGCTCTGGAGATGTAAAACCTTGTTTGACTTTGTTGACTTTGATTATTAATTTGTGCCTTGCAATGTTCATGTTGTGATAAAGAATGGAAGAAAGCGAGTGTTTAGGGAGGGGATGGCATCTTCCACGGGAAGAATTGCAAGGTCCAGTAAGGCTTGTGGAGATCCTTCCCAGTGGTTCTCCCCTCCTATCTTCCCAGAACTGCTTAAAGAGGTTCTCAGAAAAATGTATTTAAAGATTTTTATTTGATTTGGAGCTGATCTGTGTCTTCAGGAGGCGTGCCCTCTCTAGTTTGGAATTGAACAGTGACAAGTTAAAAGGACATTTAATGAAACTTTAAAATTGTGTAAAATAATGTAGTTTATGGCACCAGCCAATGAGATCCTTGTCGTAACTGGAGTGAATGATTTCTAGCGATTTTTCAGTTTTCTCAGTAATCTGTTTTTCATTGTGGTTCTAAAGCACTGAGGTCAGTGTTTATGTTATCATAGCTGTAATGGTACACCGGGGGTGCAATAAACTGCAGTTTCTGGCTGGTGCCATTAGTAAATGAGATTTCATGAACTTTGCTGTGGCTTCTCACCACCTCTACAGCTGCCTGTTCTGCCTCTGCCAGGTGTTCTGCCCACGCAGTGGAGCTGGCAGGCGAGACGTGTGCTTTGCAGAATGCAGCCTGACATGTTCGCTTACATTGCAGATGAGCAGGCCTTTTAAGCCGGAGATTAAATCGCAGTTTGCAGTGAAGCAGCTAAGAGGTGCTACACATTCCCTTCTGAAGCTGCTGTCAGAATGCTGCCCCTTGGGAGAGGGGGCAAAGCAGACAGTTGCAGGCACGAACGCTTTAAACAATGCAGTGAGATGCAAAAGTTTAGCAGAATTCTCGGGGTATTTTTGCCAGGGTAGCTGGTTGTGCTTTAGGTGAGTGCATGTGTGTGGGACGTATCTGCAATTTGCTCATGCTGCTTTGCAATCCTGGGTATCTTTCACAATGGACACGTTGAAGTGCTTGCACTTGCAAGTGCTGCAAATCAGCAAAAGTCCTTTTTTCAGGTCAATCTTCCCTCACCTTGAGCCTTCAGTTTGTGAGATTTTGGAAAAAAAATACAGCTGAGGACTGTAGTATCTTCTTGTTTACATTTTTGCTATGAGAAATGAGGCTTTTTATATTTCCCTTCTTTTTGACAAAAAAAAAATCCATATCAGCGCTGTGTGCATCTCGGTAGTTTCCTTCGAATCAGATCAGGAAACATTTGTGTTGCTTTGAATTTTGAAATTTTGTTAGCACAGAGATCTCTGCTAAATCTGAGGATAAATGACATTGTGGTTAGTTTTCAGCACGGGATCATTCGACTGATGCTCTGCATTCAGAGAACGGAAATTTGGAAATAAATCAGCCTTGCGGTTCAGACCAAGCAAATTCTGTATCTTTGCACTAGATGGATGCATGTTTCCGACCCCCAGGCATTTTCAGGTTCCCCTTCCTTTGGCTTTGTCAGTTTGTGTGGGAAGTTTCTTGCATGGTCACCAGCTGGCATGTACCTTTTAAGCAGCTCATCCGTTCCCACATTGCTCTGATGGAGTATTTTCACATCCTGCTCAGAAACTCCCCGTAAAGCTGGGTAACCTCACCCCGGTGCGTTCTGTAGTGAAGCTGGCCTTTGGCAGGGAGCTTACATTGATGGAGAAGCTTTTTATCAGAGCGAGTTGCAAGAGCTGTGGCAAAGGCTTTGCTCATCTGAATGTGAGAAATAAGGTCTGTTGTGTGAACAGGAGATGTAGTGGAATCCAGTTACACTGGGAATGACCTCTGATGGTGGAAACCTGTGTGGGGAATAAAGCCTTCTGCTCGTCTGCCTATAATCACTGTTCACACAAACCCAAACAATCAGGCAAAAGCCACCGAAGAAGCCAGGAGAGGAATACTTTTTGAGAAGGGAAAAGGCAGTGAGTGTGAACTGACTTAGAGCTGTGTGGGGCAGTTAGTTTGTTTTTGAGTGTTACACCTCTCCCTGCTTTTTGAATAGATCCCCAGTCTGCTTTAAGTATTTAAATACAAAGGTAGTAATATGTAACTTTGAGACTACAGGACAGGTGTGCTGGTGTGGTTTTGAAGCCTTTTTACTCTCTGGAGTTCAAAATGGCCTTGAAACTTGTAACACCTCCTTTATTTCATCCATTGGAAGCCAGTAGTCAGGATATCATTCCCTTTCTACTTTCAGTTTTTATGAACTTAAATGCATTTTGAGCTCAGGAGCCACACGGAGCACAAGGTCAGTCAGCTTGCTGCGCAGCAGTGTGTGGTGCAGCGCCAGGCTCTCTACACAGCCAGGCTCAGTGGTTACCTGTGTGATACTTGCAGATGGGAAGGGACCGATGCTTTTATTGTATGTAGGTAGAACTCAAAGCTGTTAAAATATTCATACTCTATTACTTAGTATCACAGTTTGATAGGCTACTACTTAATACAGCAGTAGTGTTTTTCAGCACTTTGTGCGGGTCTTCCAGTTGAAATCTGCTAACAGTAGAAGAATACTTGGAGATGTGCACGAGCAGGCTATTTCTGAATGCCTTGTGTGCATGGTGAGGCATGAGGCCTGTCATCTGTTTTCAGCCCAGGCAGGCACTGTTAACAAATCGGTTTGTATTAATGAGTGATGCTATCAGTCTCATAATTTTAAACCAGTATCTTCCTATGTCAATGTTAGTCACGTCTATCTGACCAAGGAAGAACGTGATTTCTAGCAGAATTGTCAGTATCACTCTCGCTTTAAATGGACAGGCGTTCTGTCCTAGGGAGTGTCCAGCCTCAGGTGTAGAGCTGCTGGGATCGTGAGCTGCTTTTTGTGACCAAGAACTCTGTGCGAGCTTTACTTTTTCTGTGTTCATCTTGAGGCAACTAGGAGGGCTGTCTTGGAGAGGACTAGATCATCATCTGTACTCTTAAGAACCAGTATAAACATTATGTATCCTCTTCTTTCATTACAATGTCTTTTTGGCAGAATTTATTTGCGTTTATGTGCTAATTTGCACTTTCCCTAACTAGTTTTAGCATGGTATCGGATAGAGTGGGTTTGAAATCATGGTCTGAATGCCTCCTGGTTATAGTCCAGAGGAGGGACACACAGATGCTCAGAGGGCTGGAGCACCTCTGCGATGGGGACAGGCTGAGAGAGTTGGGCTTGTTCAGCCTGGAGAAGAGAAGGCTCCGGGGACACCTTATAGCACCTTCCAGTACTTGAAGGGGCTACAAGGAAGCTGGGGGGGACTTTTTACAAGAGCCTGTAGTGACAGGACAAGGGGTAATGGGTTTAAATTGAAAGCGGGGAGGTTTAGATTAGATATCAGGAAAAAGATCTTCACAGAGAGGGTGGTGAGACAGTGGAACAGGTTGCCCAGAGAAGCTGTGGATGCCCCACCCCTGGAAGTGTTCAAGGCCAGGCTGGATGAGGCTTTGAGCAACCTGGTCTAGTGGAAGGTGTCCCTGCCCATGGCAGGGGAGTTGGAACTAGATGGTCTTTTAAGGTCCCTTCCAACCTAAACCATTCTATAATTCTATGATTTTGGTTTTCCCTGCTATGTTTATGTTCCACTTATAACATGCTATGTAATGCAGTAATATTTAAAATACTGGAAATGAGGGTTTTGTTCTCTTCAGATGGGGGAGTGAACCTATGTCTCTTCCATGAAGGTATTTTAAAACATTTATGTAGCATGCTCAGTTGTACATATTAAGAAAGGAAGTGCTGTTCGGAGATAAATTCTTCACTTGGTCTGAAACTACAGTGTGTTTTTACACTCTAGAAGATATGTAATGAAGGCAGCGGGATACAGTGCTTTATCTGTTTTTATTTTTTTCCTAGAGGGTGTCACAATGCCAGAGTATATGTTTGTCTTTGACAAAATAGAGAAGATGGGGGATGATGATAAAGCACTGAAAATGTTATTTACTCTTAGAGTTGCAATACAGAGGAAGAATTTATTAATCCATGAGAGGCATACAGTGCCATTACTGTTTTATCCCTTAACAGTGCAAAGTTGTCAGTGTTGTTATTACACAAATGACATTACCTACTTTGTTCTTAGGCACCCAATGCCACATCTCGCAACACTGGGGGCGATCTGTAGTGTATACGGGGCAGCTCAGGCTTGCATTCCAGTAGGGTTTTCCCCAGCCATTCCTACCTCCCTGGTTTTGCATCTTCTTACGAAAAGTAATTTCTAAAACAAGTATAGATGGCTGCTTTTTTTTTTTTTTTTCCAAATATCTTGCCACTTGGGCAATGTGTTTGTGTGGAGGTACTGGGCCAGCTTGTCCTTCTACTTTTTGATCTCAAGCACGTTGAAACATTTTATTATATTGGGATTTGAATGAGATACCTGGGAATATGATCTTTTACTTTTTCAGGGTTATAATGAATGGAGAGTAGAACATTTAAATATTCATGCAGAGCATTGTATGACAAGTTAAGCAGAAGATTTAGGGTACCTCTTGCCTTGTTTGTGTGTCACTTGCTCTTACCCAGTTCACTTTGTGCAATGTATTTTAACATAAGTGATTTAAAAGTAAGATTATAAAACCTCTTCTTTTAGATAGCTGTTTTTTTGGAACATGTTTGCCTTTTAGTTGGATGCATACTTCTGTGTTTTTAAAAAGTTGACTTGAGCTAGGTGGTTCATGTTCCTGAAAAAAGGTGAAGCTTTTTCCTTGAAAGTTGTTGTCTGATTTTTGCAAATAATGCAACTGTTCTAATGAGAGGAAAGCAGATAAATGTTGAACTGTGTGTATTAACGTGATTTTCCCTTCTGTTTTTGTTTTTCTTTCAGGAGAGAAATAGAAACAAACAATAACTATATGGAGATGTCCTGCTAGAATTACAACACTAATGATGTAGACTCTGGAAATGCCTAATATGTCTAAGAAGACGTTATTAAAGCTTTTTTCTGCTTAAGGTGACATCTTTGAACACTTTAACACAAAATTGACTCTTCTTGTAATGGTTCTCATCAGTGCATCTGCCCTTATACTCTCTCACCAAACACACTTGAGAACTGTACCTTCGTCAAGCACTTTCTGTCCTGAAGCTTTTACCAGTATCTGCTGTCTTTTGTATTTATGCATCCTAGCTAAGGCACAGGAGACCGAACGAATGCAAGGATTCATTAACTCTTTGAATTTGTTAAATACTAACATTTAACCGTTAGAAGTGGTTCAATGATGTGAGATTCACATTGCTTCAACTTAATTTTTTCTTTGTTGTAGTTTTTTTAATTGTCAGTTTTTAGCTATTCAACAGATTAAAAGCAAATCATGCCATATTTAGTCCTGGAGTAAAACTCAAGTCTAAATGTTCATGTGAAAATTATCGTAGTAATCTTTTAATATGGCAAAGCAACTTTAAGCTGCAGTTTAGCCAAATGATGAAACGTAACCTGAAATTATATTAGAATGACATTTCCCTTGTTTCAAACTGTTTGGTGTAAGAGAATATTAATATGCAGCTTGGTGGACACCACCAGTTAATGCACATTTCTTTTTTTTTTTTTTTCCTGTAACATGTATACTGAAAAAAGTGCATTTTGTCTGAGGAACTGTTTGTTTGCTACCACTCAATGAATCTCAGTTTTGAGTAAATGTACCTCAGTCTAAATCAGACTTTTTATGACCTTTATAACTACATTTAAAATAATCTTTAATTCCTATTTCTGGGTGTTTGCAAGCCTGACAGATTGCTATCATGAAAGTGAAAATTTACTCCTCTAGGTGATTCACTAGCTAAATAAACATAATTCTTGTTTAGCAAGCATATACTCTGTTTCTCAAATCTTTTTTGTTTCATTGTCCCAATATCCAGGTGTGGTTTTTTTTTCCCCCCCCATTCAAAAGTATTTTGCGAAAAATACTTTGATCCATGGAGATGACATTGATAGCCACGTTAACATGATTTTTGTCAGAACCGTGCAACGAGAATTTTAGAATTCATATTAAACTGGGTAATTCTGTACAAGTTTTTAACTTCTGAAAATTGTATCTTTTTGTTCCAGTTTATATAGCAACACATTCTATCTGCTGGAAGAGAATACTAAAAAAATGTTAAGCGGGTGTATTGACTGTACGAAATACTGAACAGCCTGTACCAAACTCCAGGGATAGCTTTCTCTTTTTAGAACGGCAGTGTAGAAGTCAGATACGTTATAGCTTAAAATAGCAATACCACATATTATTTGAACGTGTTTCATGTCTTGCTGCCCAACACAGATGTTTATATTGTGTTTCGAGTCCTTAATTTACAGATTGTGGCAATCAGAGTTCTGGAGCTTAAGTGACAAAAAGCTTTGTGTTGAGTACAGACTATGTTGCTACGATTTGCTTTCTGTGTTCTTAAGCCTCTTGCACTCTTCCAACCTTGCAGACACAAAGTTCAGTACACACTTCTTACTTCCTCGTTACTTAAAATATTCTTCGAGACTGCAGAGTAGCCGATATGAATCTTAATTTTTACTGCCAGTTTTCTGGAAGCTCAAAAAGGGAAACCACTCCCCTAATTTGGAGAAAAGAAACAATCTCACTTAAATGCAGATGTGTAACAAATAGCAAGTGGGCTAAGAGAAGGGGTAAGCAAAGTGCATATTGTTAAGAGGAGATTAGGAGATAAAGATTTTGAGCCCAAACCCTATGAAATTTGGCTTGAGCCCCAAAATTGCAGCTTCCATGCATTTCTGTTTCTTGCTAACAGGTTTTATAGCTATTTGTTTTCCTCTGTTGACTGATTTATAGATCACTGCCTGTTGTTCCAACTGCCATTGATCAGTTGAAGTGGCAAAGGTCAGTGTTGTGAGCCCAAAGAATGTAGTCCTTCTGATGATCCCTCAAGGGATCAGCATGTTTCTGCTTCTTTGTTACAAAAATATCTTACAAAAGGCACAGAAGTTTCCAGTTAAAAGAAAGCTACTGTTAGTCAGGCATTCAGGAATTGATTGCATGTGCAACCCTAGTCTGCTTCCACTGCAGTATTCCTATTTTTGCAGGCTTTGTTAGTATTTCCGGCTTTACCCCTTGCCTCTTAATCTGATAGCATAAGCGTTGCTCTTGGATTGAATCAGGTTTCGTATAAAATGGGTTCATCACTCTGTTGCAGGCTTGGAAGATGAGACGGGATTGTGAGAGAAGGAGGTGATCACATTTAGAGAGCTGTGACAGTTCTTATACTGTTCCAGGATTGTTAGCAAATCTACAAATAGAGTTTCATTGCTGATGGTGTTAGTCATGTTGCGACCGATTTGCCGACTGCTGAGAGTTTAGTATGTGCGGCTGAAATTAAAAGGAATTTTATGTGCATATAAAGTACTGTAAAAATAGTGTATAACATTGTAAAATCAGCTATGGAGTGCTGTACTAGTGAATGGACATGTGAAACTTCTAGCCTTCAGCTACCTTATGCACGACTTCTTTTCCTCCAGAAAGAAAAGGAATGGTGCTTACTATCTCAAATAAATGTAGAAATATATTTTTTGGTCTGATTTTTCAATACAGTGAAATGTAATGGCTGCTTACTAATGGAGGAATCAGCGGAACCCATTTCTGTTCCTGATGCCTCCTCCTGTGTGTCAGCATTTGTTCTCCTGTGATCCATACGGAGCCAGGTCAAGATGTTTTCTGCTGGTTTAATGGTCTGGGCAGTTCTGTGTGAGGCTAGATGCTGAGGAGGGAGATGATGAGAGGGGTTAAGGAAGGAGTTTTGTCCATTCAGAAGCAGGTACCCACAGTTGACTGGGCTTAGCTGCACTATAACTGCACACCTGTGGGTTGGTTAACCTGACACAGAGCAGAATGCTTAAAACTGAAGAAGGCTTCCCAAGAAAAAACCCATCGGTTCCATTTTCAGTGCAAGATTTCAGTAGTGTACAGTGAGATACGATGTTAGCAGACACATTTAGCGATACTGAATTGTGTGATTCCAGTACCTGAAGGGGCTACAAGGAAGCTGGGGGGGACTTTTTACAAGGGCCTGTAGTGACAGAGCAAGGGGTAATGGGTTTAAATTGAAAGTGGGGAGATTTAGATTAGATAGCAGGAAGAAGTTCTTCCCGGAGAGGGTGGTGAGGTACTGGAACAGGTTGCCCAGAGAAGCTGTGGATGCCCCATCCCTGGAAGTGTTCAAGGCCAGGCTGGATGAGGCTTTGAGCAACCTGGTCTAGTGGAAGGTGTCCCTGCCCATGGCAGGGGGGGGTGGGGGGCTTTAAGGGCCCTTCCAACCCAAACCATTCTGTGATACCAGGAGGTAGGAAGAAATGACGATTATTTTCCATCTTGATTACTTTTTCCTTTTTGAAGAGACATAATTCATATAGAAAAGTTACTGCTGAAAGGCTTGTCCTACCAACACAAGCAGAACAAATTGAAGTTATGTGAGCTTTGCGAACCTTTTGAGCATCTTGACTTTGTAACATCAGCATCTTTAACATAGATTTTTTGGTATTTGACAAGAAAAAATTTCTGTCAGTTGAATGCTGAAATTGCTGGTTTAAGGAAAATATGGGCAGTACTTTATTTTGAGGCATTTGGATTGAGAAAAACTCAATATTCACAACTTGACAAATTTCACTGCTTTATGTCTTTTGCTATTCTAGGCTTAATTTATCAAATACCTGCTTCTATGCATCCTCTCGCTCTGCTTTCTTCTATTTGGGTACTCTGGCAGTTTCATAACGCACTGTCTGCAGAATTTAGATGCAAAAGCCCCTTGCCAAAATGATTTTCATCCCAGACAAATCTGTGGCACCAAACAAAAGATCATGTTGAGCTGTTGGTCAAGTGCAAGTAATGTAATATCTAGGAAGAAGCATCTTAAATCACTGTTTAGTCATAGTTCTATTTTGAAGTTGCTTTTAATTTCATAAATTTTCACACTTGAAATATATTCTTTACAGAAGACGTGTTTAAAAGAACTATTTTGATGTATAGGTATCAGTGCATATTTCCTAGCTGAAACTGAGTTGAAGCAACGGTGTTTTGATTTCTATAAGTAGCAGTTACCTTAGTTTTTCATAATTATTTGTGGCTCTTTCACCAGGAAGATACTTATATACTTCAGCTGATTTTTCTAGTGCAGTGAAAATCCACTGTGGACAGCCTTTGAATTTTCTGCAGCACTGATTTTTAAATGAAAAAACTTAGGCTTTTAAATGCAAATCACCCTTTAGGGATGTATTTAATGTTTTTTTTTCAAAGCTATTTGAACTCCTTTTTCCTGCATTTTTTTGGAAATAATGATTTTCAGTGTCTTTTGCCAGGTGAAGATCATATAACATGCTGATAAATTGAGAGATTGAGTTCTTTTCCATTGAGTTACAGCAAAACTTTGTTTAAATTTTGTGGGGATTTTTGTGTGCATTAGAGTATGGTAACTTAGATGAGAATTATTTGGCATGAGAATTGACCATTTGATCTTATTTAATCTGTTTGAAAGTTTCTGTGAAAGTAACCTCTTGACATTCATATTTATTCTGTGTTCAGCTTGACACATCCACCATAGTTTAGCATGGGAGAGGAAAGAATTTCTCTGTGGATCATAGGACTTTTAAGTAAATGAGTTTGGCCTCATATAAAATTCAAATATCGGTGTACAGCTGGCATGTTTCCTTCAAAACATCTGTCCTATACTGTCTGTTCTACTTTATATATTTTAATAAAGTGCATTTTAATATGATGAACATGGATCTTTCAGTTCACAGAGCTAAATTTGTATCCAGTCCAGGCTTTTGACAGTGTTTCTCTTCCTATAATAATCCTGAAGCATTCTTATTCATGATACTTAGAGTGTCCAGGGATCTCTAAGCCAAATATTAATAATAAAACTTGCTGTTTATTAATATAAGGAGGTGCATAATGTTGGTGTTGCCTGTTCTTTTCTGACCTTGCCCTTCCCCCCAAATGGAAATCCAACAAACAGAAGTCAAACACCAGTTGGACGTCTCCTCCAATCAATTCCCCTCCATGTTTCACCAGAAACTGTATTGCCACACTGCAGGCAGCGTGCAGCTGGGTGGGTCATCTTCCTCCAGATGTCTGTTCTTAGTCAGACGTGCAAGAGGCAGTGACTTTCTTACTCCCGTCTTAAATAAGCATTCCTTCCCACTTCCCTACCCTTTCTGGGAAGACCCTGCTGTCGTAGTTGTTGTCCGCTGCTTCCTTTGGATGCCCATGAGGGAAGCTTGGTGTTGGATGCTGTTTTCACAATCTACAAAAAAGGGGTTCCTGACTTCACTTATTTCCTTCTCTGGACAGAGGAAATCTGCTGGCTGAGTTTAGCTTGTCTCAGCCTGCTTGCCACAATGTAAATAGAGAAATAATGCTTTAATAACTGGATGAATTCAGTCTCCCATGTTGTGTATGCTGCTTTTTTAAGTTAACCCTGCAGCATTTCTGTTCAGAAGGTGGAAAGGGACATGATTTCATTGGAATTTTAAAAGGCAGACAGCTATTTGAATACTCTTAAGTCCACTCTTAAGCGTTCTTATGAATTTTAGTGATAACAACTGAAGTGTTAACAATGAGAGTTTATAAGCTGTTTGCATATCCTGTATGCATTTGCACTTGTCATCTTAACACTGAATAACTTCCTTTGCCTGTAAAATTAGTTTGTAATTCTTGAGGAACTTTTACTTTTTTTGGTCGTCTTGAATTTCATCCACCCAGAGGTACTAAAACATTTCATCTGCCTGCACGAGTTCACGTGCGCCTTGAGAATGACATGGATGTTCATGTGAAATGAAACAAGATACTTTAGGGTGATGACTGTATTTTAG